TGGTGGGCACCTGCCATCTGGCCAGGGTCAATACACCACACATGGCATCAAGTCATACAGGGTGAGAGATGGGCACATCTTTTGTCCATCTGTTGATGAAGTGACAAGCTGTACTCTAGCAGACTTTCTCTGCACAAAATCAGAAAACTCCTTAAATAAAAGAAAAGCATGTACAGCTTGAGCTTCGGAACTGATCTCACTCCCAGCTCTACTGCTATATTTGCTCTATCAGCTAGGGAGAAGACATTAGGAGTGCAAGACCCCACACTGTCACCACCCATCCTAACAACCTTTGAATATGTTTGAAGTAGCTGTAAGTTCAAAACACAAGCTTGCAATGGGTCATCCTGCAGGAACACAGGCTCCACTCCTGGCTCTTTGCAGTGGGGGGAAGCTAAACATACTCCAGCACTTAACAGAGTTACTCTAAGATCCCAAAATGGTTGGTTTTACTCTTAGGTTACCAAGTTCTGGTAGCATAATATGCAGACCTTTTTATTTTTGCATTTGGTCAGCAATTGTTTTAAATCCATCTAGAGATCAAAGATCGCTGCTAACATACACCATTGTAGGAGACAAATTACCTGTAAATAATTCATGTGAAGTGCTGCTGAAAACCACCATAATCTCACACCAAAGTCTTATCGCTTTACAGAGGCTTTGAGATATTTCTTTCCTGCAGAGAGGCTGGATGCAAGGAAGTAACTACCCATACATACCTTGTAGCTTTGGGATCCCAAATTACGATGTCAGCATCAGAACCCACAGCAATTCTCCCCTTCTTTGGGTAGAGGTTAAAGATTTTTGCTGCGTTTGTGCTGGTAACAGCCACAAACCTGTTTTCATCCATTTTTCCACTGTACTGCAGAAAAGTACACATAAGCAAACTCATTACTTTTTTAAATAAGGAATGAAAAAACTGTTCCTGTTGTTGAAAAGGCTAGGATGAGTGACAGCTCTCTGCCATCATCACATCAATACTTTTTTAAATGTCATACTGAAGAGTTTAAAAGAAATAAAAATAACTAATATTCTCAAATGCACATACTGCCATGTACTTTCACTGAATACAATAACTTTATCTTACTTTACGCGACAGCAAAGGGAAAAAAAAAGACAATTTTAAAGCCAAACACTCTGTGGATCCAGTCCCAAGTCAACCAAAATCAAATTTTTTAGTTTGCTTTGAGTCCTGCTCATCAGTTTCCTCAGGAGACATAACATCTCTCAAGTATCTAGGTTCTGGAAAATGGTGAGACAGTATTAAGGAGTGCCTAGAAGATGATAAAGGAGAGGCAAGGCATGATATGTAATATAGGAAAGATGATTTGCAAATCTCTTCAGCAATAACACAGAGGATTGTACTATTCAGTAAATATTTGAGATCAAGTAGTATACAAAACTTTCGCTGATGTGACGCATCAGCAAAATGGCAAACAATAATAGACATACATGTGTCTTGGGACTGTCCACTGCTACACAACTCATTTAATCCAGCGTCCGTGACTGTTGTTTGCTTGCAAAGCCAGCCACACTGACAGTAATATTGTGCATAGGTCAATCTAGGAATTAGAATGTCATAAAAACATGTTTGTATGGTGGCCTGTAAGCAGTCATCTGAGAAGAAAAGCATAATGTAAGTGGTCAACACCACTCTTCTAAATAACTCCCTCCATGTGTGTGGGAAGGGAGAGAAGCTTTCCAGACAAACTCTCACAGCTCTGTAAGGAAAGGGAGGATATTACTGATTGAAGAATCTTTTGAAAAATTATCTTGCACAACAGGATACACTATTCAAAAGCAGCACTGGTGTACATGTACATACTCATATCTCGCTTTCATACATACATGGATTATATTCCCATTCACACCACAAATAATCACACTAGAGCTATACCACAGGTGAATATAGGCAAAAGTCTGCTTTGTACATCCCAGCTGGAGCTGAATGCCAAATACAGAGAAACAAGAGAGATTCTGAACCACATCCTTACCAAGTGCGTGAGGTAGGTTATTCTACTGTGGCAAATAAATATGTTTTGCAGTGCATTATCAACAAGACTTCACTACCGCAAGAGAACTCAACATTAATTAGAAAGTTGAACTAGAACCTCCGAAATGTATCAATATTGTATCAGCCGGAGCAATTGTAACACCCAGTAAACAGCAGATCCTTCACCAGATTACCTCACCTCCCTCCTCATCAGACTACCCCATACCCAAAAATCCTGGCCACTAGATTTCGTATTTATATTTGTTTAGAGCCTGAAGGACATTGTCCTGAGATGCATTGAGCATGTGTTGGCACTGAGAATCTGAAGTCAATGGGGCTTGGAGGTATTCATCTTATCGTATCACAGCACTGAGCCATACATCAGAGAAGCATTTCTTGTCTCTAGCTTGTTTCCTCTGGCTGAAAACACAAAGCAGAATTTGACAGGCACACACCCAGTGTGGAAGCTCCTCTAACAGCTAAGTTCGAGAGAGATCAAAGAGGAAAAAATACAGAACTGACCAAGTCGGAACGGTGGGGATCTCTTTCCTTTTACTTTACTTTCATCTGTTGAAAAAAAATGCTGCAAGTAAATATACTGTGCACTAGCACTGAAACAATAGCAGTGCTTTGCTGCTAAATGGTGGAAATTATTCTCTAGTGCTATATTTTAAGCACTAAGAATCTTCTTCTATCTCCCAGGAGCATAAAGTGAGAGTTAGCAAGGACTCTGTTATGGTATTTGATCAAAGGAGTTATTCTGTGATAAACACACCTGATAAAACTGGAGAGTTGGTAACTGCTGAGAGATTATATTTTGTTGGAGAAATCAATTACCTCCATGTTCAGACATCTTGATTATACTTACTACTCCTTTTTCCCATATGACTGACATCCTGTCTTCCACACCATTCACTCCATTAGGGATTTTTGTGAAGTCATCCTTCCCCAGAGCTTTCTGGCATATGTCAAAGGTGCAATTGTCAGTCCCTGTCACAGATAGGTCATCACTACAGAGAAACAAAGTTCATTATGAATCAGAGCATGTACCAGACTGTGCCACACAGAAAAATTTGCTGCAAGGCTGTGTAGATCCATCCATCCATCCTGCAAGTAAAAACTGGTATGAACTGCCAGCCTGTCTTCAGTCCCATCCTCCAAGAGTAACTCCACTGTAACAGCCAGTTCCACTGTGAAGCAGTTTCCTCTTCAGAAACCCCTCAAAAGAAACCAAGCATCAAAATTAACACTTTTACTTTGTATATGTCAAAGGTGTTCCACAAATAGGGCTGTTGCACTTTGCCCAGAGCAAAGTGATGGCTTGGTTCCATCCTCACTTAGGGCAATTTTAGGCTGTGTCACTCCTTATACGCTGTGAAATTACTATGGATCTGCACAACCATCAGCCAGTGTCCAGGCATACTTTCACAGACTCTTCTGTCAAATTCAACCCTTTTGTGCAGCTAGGCTTTATTGGTAGTGAAATACCAGCAAACCATGCATTTTGTTAACTTCAGGTATCTGAAGGTTACCTCTGTTCCTACTTCCTTCTGAAGGAGATGATATCAACTGGACAACCTATATCTACCTTCAAAAGTCAGCAGGCTTAGTTTTTATGCAGCATCCATATTTCAAGTGAAAAAGGCAGCTGGCAACAAAGACCAGAACCCCTAGCTGTGACCCTGCTTTTTACACATTTCCCACCAAACTTACAGCCTTAATGTCCCCATAGTCATGTTTCAATTTTTGCTGCAGTATTAACAAGGCAGGGCTTACTGATTAAAATCAAATGGTCTCAGAAGGCCACAAGAGTTCAGAGAAACAAAGTCTGAACACTTTCTAATTTCTGTAACAAAAAATGGTTTTCATCTATGGTTTCACCTTCCATTTCTCCTTCCTGATAATGTAACATTCTGTAGTTAGAAAATGTCCAGGGCATCAATCCATTATTATACACTCCAGACAGAAGTTGCTGTGTATTTGGGCATCAGCTGTCTCTGTTTGTTCATCTGCTTACTTGGCCAGTAAGTTCATGAGGAAACCAGGAGTAGATGGATCTGGTCTCAGTGGAGGTCCCATGACATATGCTGCAGCATGAGCCCAGTCTTTATTCCAGTAGTTGGTACCATCAGTGCCAAGACTAGCAGCAATAGGCTCCCCATAAACCACCTTTCCTGAAAAATGTAAAGCATCAGTATCATCATCAAACAACATAAAAATCAGTATCTTCTATTTTCTCTCTTCCAGATATTTTGGTGGCAATGGATTTAAATTTGAATGAGTGTTTCAAATTAAACACCAACATACGGAAGGACATAATAAACTAAGCTATAAGACAGCATCTCTGTTCTGAATATTCTGCTGGTGATCTCCCAATATATTTCCTCATAAGAACATTGCTTGGGCAAGTTTTTTAATTAAATTGTTGACAGATATATTATAATGGGTTTACACATTGTTTACCAGGCATGTGACTGAGATTTCAAAAGGAACATAGTCCTCAGTTTCATTAATTATGTTCAAGATCCATATATTTCTTTGTAGCGCCTGTTTGGTGCTCTGAGATTACTGACTTTGTAACAATGTAGGTTATATACAGCATACAGACTTTGCAAGGTGGTACTTTTAATTGTCAGGCTATAATTGTTCCAGGAAGAACAATAAGGCACCAGACATAAATTTAAAGAGTATAAAAACATTTCCCAACCCAAAATCTATAAATAATTTAATTTAAAAGTTACCTCCCAAATTTTTATTTTTAATTCTTTTCTGCACAGTATTCTAGATTCCTCAGAAGCTGTTAGCCCCTGGATAGAGCTATCATACTTTAACTATTTTTTCCTCCTAGGAAACATGGGTTTGAAACTCGTCAGAACAAGATGGGAGATGAAACAAGATGTTTCACTCCCTGAGGAGGTGGTTTGGCCACTTTGCAGTTCTGTAGGTGACAGGCGGTAATGTCCCTGACTGAGATGGTCACCAAAGAACCAGAGCGAGCTGGGACCTCACACACCCACTTGCAGGCTGCTTGGTGCTGGTTAAAGGCAGCCTCTGCTAGATCCCAGCAAAAGCTTGCTTCCTCCCCTGATCCCTACAGACAGTGGGTATCTTGCTATGGATCCCAGACTTCACTCCAGGCACAATTTTTATTTGAACTATCACTGCATTACCCCAGCAAGGGCTCAACTGGTAATTGCTTGGTGATATAAGACAGCGACCTTTCTCTGGCTTTCTGCATATAAGTCACACACCCATGGTACTGTCAGAAAAACCTTTGCAGATTTCTCTTTGCACGTTAGATTCTGCTACTTCTGTGAGCGACTGGATTTTAACTGCTACACTAGCATAGGTAGCTACTGAGGAGCTCAATTCTTTTCAAAATAGGTTTCCCACTGCAGTAGTGCCATTCCTTAAATCTTCTGTGCTAGACTTGCAAAAAGGCCTCATACTGTTTCAAACCCATAGTTCTACAGTTATTTCTACAAGGTTTCAAGACCTGCTCTGACATTACTGTACTGTACCTTTACTCCAAGTACACATAATATAACTTCCTCAACTAAAGACTCCCTGTTAACGTTATTAACTTGTTATAACCACCTCAGCATGCTCTGACATGCTGAATGTGCTTGTCTCATACTGGTACTTTGGCTTGGAGCATCGAAGGTCCCAGTCCCACTTATCTACATATATTACAGATCTACACTTGGGCTCAGAGGGAAACCACCACCATTTTTCGGACTTGAAATCATGACTTAAGCAGTTATTTACTGATTCTTGCATCTTATTTTCAAAACTTAAAGCACTGAATATGAGGCTACCCATGGAAGTGATACAGCTACTCAGTGAATGAGAAGGTTTTAGCTAGATTAGCGTTTTCCTAACTCAAAGCTGCTGTGGGAGTCAGGGGCACATTGGCCTTCCCTGGGCAACTCCAAACACAGTATTTGAGGGCAGACTGCCACAAACCTAGATATATACAGAAAAAGTCCTGTATATATAACCAATCATCTCCTGTATTTACTCGTTAGGCTTTTGACAGATTTTTCATGAACAAAGTCAGAAGAAAGGGGGGAAAGGGGAAGTATGGTGTGATGTGTGTCTTTCACCCACCAAGACAAAGAAACTTCCATCCAAAGTAAACCTGAACTATGAATCATTAGGACAATGATAAAAGTTAAAATGGTAGGAAAGGAGTAAATATTTTGCTTCCATAAATAATTTTCTTATCTCAGTTTCACAACATAAAAATGAAAGGAATTCTCCAAGCTCAGAGTCATATACGCTGAGTTGATTCTAACTCACGTACCACAGCTGATGACAGTATTTCTGCAGTCAGAACTTGACCTGAGCAGCTCCCTATGTTCCCATGAGTGAGAAAGAGTACAAGCCATCTCAAGTGATTTTTGAATCTGAACATTACAGCTGCAATGGACTACATCTGGACACTTCCGCTGACTATACAATTTCTTGCATTTCATTTGCACTGTGACTAGCCAGACTGAAGGGTAAAATGATGTCAAGATTCTGCTTTAATCCAAATAACAAGGAAATTCTGCATTAAGGCTCTTTCACCCTGATTGGTAACAAGGAAATTCTGCATTAAGGTTCTTCGAGCTCAATTGGCTTCTACCTATAGGCATAAAAGTGGAGTAAAGTGGTAATGAATCAGGTCTTTCCATTTGTTACGTTTTCCTGCATTCAATAAAACCAGTAAGCAGAAAGTCTTCCATTGTTTGGTCTTTCTGACGTCTCTGAACTGCTGGGAAATAGCTGTGGATTTGGTGGCTTCTTCATTACATGCCCAAACTCACTGGCAAGAACTATTTTCACAGAAATTACTTTATTTTGCAATTTATTTTACCATCAATCAGAACTCAAAGAGTTATAATCTTGAGAAACACCTACTAACATTTACAGGCTTGAAAAATGGGTCCCCATGTGCTTATTCTAGGAAAAGTTTCAGAAGCACAGTTAAGGTCATATGGGGCAAAGACACTCTCTGACCAGCTATGATCTGAAAGAAGTGGAACTGCAAGGCAGGGTTTATTGAATCAGGCATAGCATCTCATCAATTAGGCTATCTACAGTCTGGATCTGAGCTGTCTTGTATGAGCCAGCTAAAAAGTTAGCATTTTAAGTTGCACTCCTGTGCTCAGAACCAGCTTGATAGCCTGTACACCCACAGCTATGGACATGCCCTTTCTCTCACTAAGAGCAGACCTAACCCATGACTGATGGTAGGAGGTACGAACTTTGTAAATCTAAGCAAGCTTCTTGTAATCTGACCAAGAGCGTATTTTTGTATACACTTTTTTAAAACAGAGAAACCTTTTAAAAAATTGACTTTTTAGTAAGATTCTGCTCTCCAGTTCCGATCTACACTAGAAAGTCTTATTTCCTTAACTGAAATACCACAGTTAAATGGGCAAAGGCACATGATCTCTAGCTTTTAGTACACTTAGAATGAAAGTATTTTTAAGTGGGAGACAAACTGAATCATATATCCCTAAACCACATTTTATAGCCTTGCTTCTCCATACGCATTGCTGGCCAAAGAAATGGGTGACAGGGCCACATTATTTTTCCCTGGTAATTTCACATCAGATAGTCCTAACAAGGCTAGTGAGATGCACTGCCTGATGCCAACATTCTACAGCCTTCTCTTCGCATTGTAGGGAAGACTTTACACAATAGCAGGAAGAGGATCCTCTTTGTCTTCCTACTCAAGGGAACGAGACTCTCATGTACACAGAGATATCATATTGTCCTTCTGTGGATGCACAGTTCCTCTATCTATTCTAGCAAGATTCAAGATCTTGTTTTGCACAAGGATGAAGAAACAGCTCATTGAGATGAGCAAGAACAGTTCTCACAGAGAGGAGCTTGTCTTTGACTCTCTCAAGTGGAGACCTGGTAGGGCACAAAGATAAACCAGGATGGGGGCATGAGTTAACATGTCACTTTCCAACACAGTCACAACGTGGAAATCTGGGATTTGCTATTGAATATTCAGCAGCGTTGTAGCTGTTACTGACATACATGGAAATCATGCTGCCACAGTCTGGAGATTCCCTTTGGTGAGTGGTGTTGCTGGAGATCAGAGCAGACACAGATGGTGGACTTTGGCACAGAGGGGAGAAGGAAAGATGGTCACCCATATGATTCCTCTAAATTTTTCTTATTCTAGTATAAGAACTAGTATCCCTTTATGGTGTATATGACTGAGCTAAATGAGTGACAAACAAGAACTGGGCTCTGACTTACATTTTTGACTAGGAAAATCACCACCCTACAGAATTTGATAAACAATGCTTCAACTCTGATATCACATGTCAACCACAAAATAGATTACATTCACTGAAGATCAGCCTCTCCCCTTCTGAGGTCAGTGATGGAACAGGGAGGGGTATCAATCTTCCTTCGACATAGGAAGGGATGAAGATGCACCCACACACTGTACTTCATGCTAGGTACTTGGAAAGGAAAACGAAAAATTTCACAATTGTAAATAGCAGGAAGCTGATATCAAGAGATGGAGAAATAATCTTGGAAACATGTATGTGTTAGAGTCAATATTTCAAATGCCTGAGAGCTTTCCGGTATTTAAGAGTGTACACTGCTTTCATGTCAGGGTGGCTTTAACCTGTCCAAATTGATTATCTTTCAGCAAAATATTTGGGTTTTATTTATGTCATTCATAAAAACCTTTGAGAATTTTTTTTTGTCTGGAACTTCTTGTATTTTATTACCACTTTTAATTGAAGAATGGAAAATAACTTTTACTGAAACTAACAGCAATGAATTTCTAATTGCCAGAATTTATACAGATCAGTCTCATTAAAAACTATAATTGTTGTGACTATCTTTGTGGTACACTACCTATCTTTCAAATTTTCTTAATCAGTCCTAGATTTCTGTTTCCTAAACAGTATACTTCCATGTGAACAGATATTAATCATGAAGAGATGTTATACATTGCTGTGCACAAAGGCAAGCATTGATGATTCTGACTGCATCAACCCAGGAAGATATAAAATCCAGTTTGCACCACAATAAGCATAAGTTGTACCAATTTCTTCTTTTTACACATCAAAGAAGCATACATGTATCAAGTCAGTTATCAAACTGGCACTGCAGACTATTCTTATAACACGTACAACAATATTTTACAGTATTTATTATCAACATAGAATATTTTACTTAAACAGTGTGTTATAAAACACCACTTCCTATCTTAGCTTTTGTATGTTCACAGCCAGTGTTTCGTCTTTAATCTGGGTATTTTAACTGTTGTCACAGTTTCTTTTTGTTAATGTTGATACCACACCTGTAAATGTACAAATAACTGTACACTGACAGACATAATCCACATTACCAGCAGCACTGTCATCTAGTGGAGAAATCTAATATAGCACAATATCAAAAGATGCTAGTAAAAAATATTATGGTAGATTCTTTTACAGATTTGAATTACTGATAAGTCTTACTAGAAGTCATAAGCCATACATATTCCACATAAACAAATCCATCTTTATTAGCACAATTATATCATGCTGATTTTAATTGCACTTTTGTCAAGCTCTCATACTCTCCATTTTGATAATAATAGTCTATGCCCCCTGTGTAAACATTATCTGAAGTCACGAAATAAGGAAACTGAGACCTGTATGCAACTCACGTTAGGTCAGTTGAACACAAGCCGAGATGTAAAAAGATAACAAGTACTTATATGCCATAAATTTTTAGGTGCCCCAAATCATGAGCCCTGCTCCTCCCACCCGTATGATATCTCGTCATGGCGCTGTGGTTCCACAGGCTGCTCTGGATGAACTTACAGATGAGGAGGTAAAACATCCTGAATACCTATAGCCTTCAGGCTGCTTCTAGCCTGTCCAACAGATGGTCAAGAGAGTCAGCCTCCCTTTGCTGACCAGAACTACTTACAAACCCTGCAGTGCATGACCTAAGAAACCCTTCCAAGACTTTCAGACACTGTCATCATCACCATGCCCACTGAACGGGAGTCCTGGTCATGTCATAGCACTGACTGTAAAAACATGGTGTGGTGTCTGTTGTAGAATTTCTCATCTAAATAGCTGGTAAAGGCTTGCAGACCACAAGTCAAGGGAGGGGAATAGTAGAGCATATATTCTCTTGGACTGGTCATATATTTTTAACATAATAGTGCCATCCTGGCCATCGCTTTGACCTTAGAAGTACAGTACAAAGGAGAAAAAAGTTTACTCTGGGGAGAAGGGAAAGTCCCAGCTGCTTTTCTTCAACACTGCTTAGCTCCCCATGGGCCCCACAACACACACACACAGTTTAGACATCCCACTCCAAGAAATCTACCCATGTTCTGAGGGTTATGGCATCCATGACAATTAGGACACTGATACTATGTTTGGTTTACCATGACCCTTCCTCCAATGCCGTTGCAAAAGCACAAAAGAATTAGACTTTTACCTTCTCTTCGTGCATTGCTTATCACGCTTGCTGCAGATTTACTCATTACATGGACTACAAAAAGGGGACAGTTTACAGCATTCGCTATAGTAATTGCTCGTTGTGTAGCTTCAGCTTCCACTTCTTCGGGACGACACAATTCATGCCCCTCAGGACCAGTTATTCCCATTGCCAACATCTTCTTTGCACCCTGAACACCACACAAAAACATGTAACATTGAGTTAAAGTGCAACCATGGTGTCATGAACACAGTGCCATTCAAAAGCTTCTCAAACTAGCCACTACAGCTAGTTTAAGGAAAAAAAAAAAACAAAACAAAAAACCCCAAAAAAACAAGGCAGTTACGAGTTTTTTTCAAGAGAAGTTATTGTTGTGTTATCTGAAATCCAGTATATCTCTCAATAAACAGAGGTCTCAGAGAACACACTCCACTAGCTTGCACAGAGAAATCACTGCTTTTGAAAACCCTACTCCTCTCTCAATATGTGCTCTTAATTGATAACAGACAGTAACTGGGATGACAGTACTAATGTCTCATTGGAAAAAAAAAAGGAAAGATCCTTACTCAGCACAAAGATACACATCCAGAGTCTCTGAATGAGGCTCCAAGGTTTTAAGAAGCATAAGATTTTTGTCCCTACTATATTCCAGGAACTTATGCTTTGCTGATTTGAGATTCCTTAGCAATAAATTAATTTCTGTTATGGGCCCTGGGGCAGAGTCAAAGAACTATTGAATAGAATAGTCAAAGAAACTCAAAGACATCAGCGTAGTTACACTTCCAGTGCCTCCACACAGCACTAGGGTGGCAGTAGTAAGTGTGAAGTGAGGCTAACTATGCATAGAGGGACATCGAGAATTTTGTGCCCAGTCAGTAAATCTTTTTCCATACTTCTGGGTTCATTCCTGTTAGATGAGTCGACTATGTTTGGAGAGACCTAGGGTTAGGCATCACACCCCCAACCTCTAAATACTTGGCCTAGTGTTCTCACTTCGACTTGGTTGATGGTCAGGCTCTGACTGTTGCTTTCTTTGTCAGTCAAGTATACATATTATACTGCAAGTATATATCTTACACTGCAAGTATAACTCTCATTATAATTGAATCATTTGTCTCCTGGTCTACCCTGAACCCAGGACTCCAGGTTACGATTTCTTAGCCTACCACAAACATCTTTTAGGATCTTGGATACGATGTTTGTCCTCAGTTCCCTGGAAGTAAAATGGGGTAGAAAAGCCTTTCCCTGTGATACAATGATGGTACTAATGAATTTATCAAAGTGGTCACGTAGCAGGACCATTTATATTCCTGACTTTGATGGACAAAATGTCAAATGCCTACCTGTGCAATTAGATCCCCATTCTCTGCATGGACTTGAGCAACTACTCCAAGTTCCTTACAGCAGGAAAAGGCTGCATACAACTCCTCATCATTGACCATGTACAGATCTTTATAGGCCATAAACATCTTGAAGGAGTTGACACCTTTGTTTTGAACAAGACTTTTCATTTCTTCCTTCACCTAAAAGATAGCAATTGTCAAAAAAAGAGCAATATTGTATTTTACCTGTTAATAATTTTGTATAAAGAAATTTTAAATATGAAGGATGAGCCTTCACTCACCCATTAAACATATGTGCAATCCAAACGGCCCATGTCACGTATCTAAAGACTGACTTATACTGTTCTTCTCGTCTCAAATTGATTCTCAAAATATATAAACCAGTACCACTGCGGTGCAGATATTGGAGGCACAAAATAATTGCAGGAAGGATATGTTTTTTATGAAAACTAACGAAGCAGAATTTTATTCCAAATAAGCCTCCTGATGTTGAAGACATCCAGTCCAATATTACAGTGTATCCAACTTACACAGTATGGAGGTTTGTGCAAAATTAATTTTCAAAATTGGATTGTAATAGGGTTCAGCTTCTGGCCTGAGCTTTGTCCTGACTCTAAACAACACACAACCTTTTGAAATATTTTGTCATCAAACAATATGGCTCTAAAACTCCAGATGCAAGCCTGCTTTTTTTCTTGTATGCACTCCTTGACAGGAGTCCCTGCTTCTGCTAGAGTCTGTGAAGCCCAGCAAAACTTTATGTCCCAAAGAAAGAAAGAAAGATGCAGATTTTAGCCCAAAGGTTTCTTGTACAGTTAATTAGCTAGAACCACCCATTACCTAATTTCGACTCTCCCTTCCCAGTAAAATGATGGTGACAGTAATTGTCATGTGTCTGTGATGCTACTACAATTTCCACAGAATTAATTTTTTTCGAAAAGTAAAACATTGTTTTTCATCTTCTCTCTAATATTCTAGTTGGATCTACCTAAGGTGAGAGATTGATATAAAACTCAAGGAAATTTTCTGGACTTACGCAGAAGAGGGGTGTGAGCATATCTTGAGTAGTAATTATCAAACAAATACATACCTGACATAAGGCCCTACTCTGGCACAAATATAGATGCATTTCATTTATTTTCTTCTTCACTACTTACTATGACTAAGGGAAGTCATTGTAAAAAATGTATGCTTTTAATCAATACTTTAAATCCTGAGCAGATGATAGCTAATTAGAAGGGCATGAAATATCATTCTTCTTTATCCAGACCTTTTACAGCTACTAAACTTCAGATCTTTCTATTTCTTTCAGTCTTAGCCTTTTTAAAAAATTAGCTTCTTAACATAAACCAGACCATTTCACTGATTTACACATCCCTAGTTTTACTGGATTTTTCAGCACAATTCCGTTGTTCTCTACTTAAGACAGTTTTAAATGCACATTCCTCAAACTTCACTGGAGAATTTATGTCTTTGTTTTGAGCTAGAAGTTGTAATCAGTCTATTAGTGCACAGAATACCAAAGATGGGATGTTGGTGGAGTAAAGGCTTTAGTTTATGTGTTTTAAAAGTTAAAAATTAGAGGAAGTACTCATGTTTGAAAATGGAATTTACTGAATATATATGTACTGATGTATGCTCTCTGAGGATCCAAAGTGGTCTTGTAAAACAGGTTCACATAGATGTCAAGCATGTGAAAAGTTAATTTATTCAGTAAAGTGTTCAGGCTCTCAGCAAACATTCACACAACAAGGACAATTCTCCCATATGTAAATTCCAAAAAGGTTTTTTAGATAATCTCACATTCAAGTAATTATTTACTCCAATACTGCTTTACTTTAAGGAGATATTACCACAGTCACACAGGAATAGTACTCCTCCTTTACAGCTACAGTACCATATTTTTCTTGTACACCCTTACTGGAAAAAAAATAACACCGTGACTCAACAGGAGCATAGATTATCAAGTGTTCAAGTAAGAAAAAGCAAAATTTATGCAAACACCTTTTGCCCCCTCTGGCCTGCCTGGTCTTGATCTCGCACAACTGCTTCCTTTAACTTTGTGCAGTATTATCCAAAAATACAGGCTATCTGCAGACTTTCTGTATTTTTTAAAAAACGTGTACTTTTAGAAGGGTGTGGACTATTTCAGGTGTCATTTTTACACACAAAAATACTATTACACTCCCAGAGAGCTATATTTAGCATGTGAGGGCTAATTCAAAGCAGGTGCAGTACCAATTCATGGAACTGAATATCAGCTATTGTGCTTACCTTGTTGCTCCACCATGTAACTGCCACATGCAGTGCATAATCACAGCAGACTTTAGGGTCTGCCCAGCTTTTCCATGTGTCAAAGGCTTCAACAAGAGAACAGCCTTTCTGAGGGATGGCAAAGTCGATGATCATAGTGGTTCCTCCTGCTATAGCAGCCTGAAAGGAAGAAAGTTAAAATTTAGCTGTCAGAGAGAATGCAAATTTACTCCCACCCTCTCTGATTCCCTGTGCAACAATAAACATTAGTACACTGAAATGCCAAAAGCCACTGAAGAGTTTCCCTGAATAAAGCCTGAACTGGCAAAATGAGTGTGGAGATTAATTCACCTCCTTTGAGGAGGATGTTCTCAAAGAGGTATTCAGAAGAATCGTGGGGAAATTCTCAGACTGAAGGAGAAATTTTCGTACATGTACAAAATTTATAAAAGATTTGGAGATGAGTCTGCAGTATTCAAGCATCAGTGAGTTTCCTTAAGCGGGTGAGATCACTGAGAAAGAAGAGCACCAGAAGATCATAGGCAACTTGAGAAATGCTCCCTCAGAGTTTACATAGTTGAAAAAACAAGCCTGTGTGACAGAAGACTGTTAAGGAGCAGATATACAATGAAATAAAACCAAATTTAGTGTGAAAATCCCCAAACTCTTGTCTAACACCAAAATGATTTTTAAAGTATTTTAAAAATATTTTTTTTTTACTGACAGGGTATCATTTAATAAAACTGCATATCAGGTTTTTAAATAGAATGAGATATTTACACCCTCCATATAAATATTCATAAGCAAATAAACAAGAATCTTACTTTATATATGTTGTGAGGATCAAATACTGCTTTTAAACAAATAATTTTCACTCTCTTTTATGGACAATTGAATTGCTACTTTTTTTTTCCTTTGAAGGATCTTTGTTATTCACTCACAGAAACCAGGTCCTTGACTAAGAGAAATTGATCTAATATAGAAATTTCTTTGCTGTAATTGTTGGAATCTCCCAAATTAGCATGAGAAATCCTCTCTATTACTCTGAACAACATCCCTTTGTACAACAGGTACAACCAATACAGATCAAAATATAGACAATTTAAATTCATGTAATATTACTCTTCTTATTTCTAGATCAGTCCCTTCCTTCTGTTCACTTAGCAGTCTGAATCAAAATTGTAAATATGTCAGTATATTTTGCAAAAAGTTTGAAAAATGACGTAAACAATTGTGATTCTGTGATGAATTCAGCAAAACATTTTCTCCAAGAGAAGTTGTACAAACTGTCAAATTTTTTGTCCACAAAACAGATAGACTTCTTATTTGGTAAAGAGGATTTACAATTTAAAAATATTTATAGACTTAAAAAAAATGTCATGGGCTCCACAACTCCATTCGAAGTCTCTTTTTTCCCCTGTCTTTGTAAAGAGAGGCATTCTGTGCCTTATTTGTTCAACTGAATGGGTAAATCTCAGCTAATCATTGTAACATGGTTTGCAATCGTTGGAACACAACTTTGTCTCCCTGAATATCTTGCCAAAATATTTGTCAGATGATGACCTTCAGTAAATTGCTCTGAACACTTGCCACACTTTGACCTGGGTTAAGAAAGTCCACAAGATCTAACTTTTGACATCTGATTGCTGGGCTGGATCTAGAGTCTTCCTTTAGGCTGATTTGTGTATGCAGTCTCTGTTTTGCAGCTTCCCTGTCCAGTGCCTCAAAAAGTTATTCAAAAAACTCCCCAAAACTATAACTTTTTTTGCAAGCTAGTACAAAATTTATCTCCCCTACTTTGGGATTCTACAGTGTAGGCACTTACATATAAGTTAGTCTGCATCTTTGCTTCTCTTTAAAGTCAATGGAGACAAAGAATGAGATCACTTACACCTTAAGAAGGTGTCTTAAGAGAAAGCCACAGTCATTGCTGTTTCTTTTACATGTTTTCTCCTGACGGACAAAATTACCTGGCTTCAAGTCACATTTGTTTGTTTTCTTTTGCAATGTCAAATTTCTAAACACTTGTCGATAATTAGCTTACAAAAATGGTCTTTACAGAGAAAAAAAGGATTGTTGCAGAAAATGACAAAACATTCATATATATATATTTGTGTACTGCAATCATGTAAAATAAGTATTCCAGAAATCAAATTCTGCATTTCATTCAGTCAGGAAACATAGTTTATGATGTCCATAGACAAGCAGAACAGACATAGTGGAGTTGATTTTTTTTCTCTCCATTTGTCACAGAAAGCAGTGTGAAGACCACTTGCTTGTGGAAACCATTTCAGTAACTATAATTTAAAAAAAAAAAAAAA